GTCAAATGCATTTAAATATATTTAGCCAAATACTTTGAATTACGTTTCCCACATGAGAACCGTAATGTGAGATATAATATATTCATATTATATTGTTATTTATTACCTCGAACATGTCTGTCAAATGTGTTTATTTTGAATATATTCTGTCAAATACTTTGAATTACGTTTCCCACATGAGAACCGTAATGTGAGATATAATAATATATTTTTATATACATAGTTGGCCACAATATATGTAAGTAATAATAAACTAGAAATACATGCATGCAATAACCCCTGGCCAGTTTTCAAAAGATGTATACTCAGTGCCTTTGCGAGCACTTCGTTTCAGGGGGTGTGTACACCATCTGACAACTATCTGACAACTATATGACACACTTCGACCATCATACACAATCTTCATCTGACAACCCTTCCCTGTATAATCACCCTCCAACATCATACACCATCAGACAACCATCTGACCATCATGACCATCATACACCATCTGACAACCCTTCCCTGTACAACCACCTTACACCATCATACACCATCTGACACACTTCGACCATCATACACCATCTTCACCATCAGACATCAGATATCGATGCCTGTATTGCATGGCATTACTCGTATCTAAGAATCATTAAGTTCGAATAGTATAAACTTCATCTTACCCTAATTATTTATAATTCAGCGCATGCGCAAATAAATTATTTCAAGCGTGCATGCTTCACATGCTTGAACCTGACATTTTTGGACGTTATTTTAAAATTGTTTACTTTTCTGCTGTATTTTGTATCCAGTTCACCTGTTATATAATATTTTGTTTTTGTTAGGGATGTTATGTTTGCTTTTTTTGCCCCGGGGGAAGGGGGCTAGCTGTAATATGATTTTTGTCATTAAACGTTCCCCTGTACCCAGGGGCTTTGTTAATGTTTTGTTCCATCCTCTTAACAAAAGTCCCTGGGTGGACCCCCGGGTCGACCCCCGGGGAAGCCGATGATAAGTGTATTAGCCCCGGCGGGGCTTTTGAAATTAAGGATTTGGAGGTTTTGCAATCACTGATAACTTGATAATAATATAAAACAAAACACTTCTATCTGCAACTTTTACAATCACTGATAACTTAGTAGTATAGGAAGTAGCGGTTCTAGACCACTTTTTCAGCCCGCGATCCCACCCCACTTCCGGTCAGCGGTTTCCATATTTTCCCCAAAAAACGCGGGCTCAAGTTTCTAGATCATTTTTTTCTAGACCATTTTTTCCGTGGTCTTTTTACCTCATTTTTTTATCTATTATTTATCAGAATTATTTAACAATTTATTTTTCTAATGAGTGATGTCCGTACGCGTAACTTGTAACACCATCCTCAAGTAAGTACCGTTTATCATCGAAACAACTAAGTGTGATTTTCTTCAGTTCGTAAGTTCCGATTTTATGTTTGATGCTTCTGATTGTGTTCATCTTATGTGTCATCAAACCTCTCGTCTTAATTACGTTCTTGAAGTTTTCATGAGTGAGTTTGTTTCTGATCACATACTTTTTCACTCCTTTCGCCGTCATTCCACCTCCACCACTTTCCTTCACGTAGGAGTACATCTTCGACCTCAACCCAATGAATTCAATCACTGGTACTCCCGCAGCTTCATCCTTAAACTTACCAATTACCTTCTTATTATGAGCTGAGTAGTATGGGGAATCTTTTGGATAGTCTGAGTTGTCCCAGCAGTCTTTTTCCTCACCGATCCTCCTGAAGTCCTCATACACATCGTCAGTCTTTATTTCATACATCAGACTGTCAGTATCTGTGAACAGTAGCTTTGACCTGTCACCGTATTCCTTCTTAATTGTATTGTAATGGAAGTCGTACATAAGAGTCTTTGATAAGTCTAAGATGCTCATTCCAACGTAGCACGGTTTGTTTAGAGTTAGAACTTCCTTCGTTCGCTTTACAACTATTAAGTTCTCATTCATAATTCTATGCGACTGGAAGCACGGCGACGCTGTAAGTTTTAGTAGGTCATTTTCTGACGACACTAATTTCACGTCAACTCTTTTCCTTAGATTCTCCATAGTTTTTCCATAGATTGAGTTGTTCATTAATTTGAAAAAGTTTTTCTCAAAAGTATTACGTGCAACTGACCGTTTCTTCGTATTGAAGTCGATATAGTTCTTTAGCCAGGGAGACTGTTTGAATGAGACGGCTCTATGGACCTTCGTAAGTTTCATTCCGAGTTCTGTGTAGAGTTTCAGATTACGGGCGTGTAAGACGTAGTTTTTCCTGGGACCTAAGGAGTTCACCAGTTTTCTTACTCCTCCAATTGTCAGCTGGAATTTGTCGGCAATATCCTTCGCGTAGTCTGACAACATCGAGGCACCGATCTCCTTACTCTCCGGTGCTAGTGGATAACCGTTGTGTAGATTGTGAAGTTCCTTTGGGTATTCCATGTCAACCTCTAGAACCATACCCCTTCCGTTGTCTCCAAGATAATCATCTAGGTTTGCCGCGTCGAAATTCTCGACCCACTCAAATTCACCGTTAGGCAGCGGCTGAGACATCGCCCAACCATATAAATTGTTGGCATCGAGGTACATAAGGAACTTGTTTTCAAGATCTTCATTATACGTTTCCATATACTTATTATTGGCTGTAGCCTGTCTGTGAGCAATATGACTTATGCCACCTCTCATTCCCTTCTCGAAGAACTGAAACATGTCCATATCACTTACTAGTTCTATCTCCTCACCTGACTGTTTCAGGAAGGCGTCCCAACTTAGACTAGGTGCTGATATGTAGTGTGCAGGGTCAAGCTTGTAATTTTCCAGGCAAGTTCTTCTGAAGTTTTCGAAGACATCTGCTAGAAGAAGAACGTCAGTTTCCAGGTAGAGATCGTGGTAGTCTCTCATGGTTTTCATCTTAAAGTGATCCCATACTTTTAGCGCTCTTTGGTAATCTTCTTCTTTCACCTCCGACTCATATAGAGATGAGTAGAATTTGTCTCTGCTTGGAAGACCCTCAACATTAAGTTTACTAATGTCATCCAAATATTCATATGGAAATATACCTTTTTGTGTCACAAGTTTGAAGTCCTCACCAGTCCACCTCTTACCTACTATCCTGAAGTCTTCAGGTGAAAGGTTACTCACAAGTGCTTCCAAAGAAGAAGCCATGAACTGTATTGAGTCAATGAACACAAGACTTTTACCTAGTGAGAAGGAAATATATTTTTCCATATTATTTGGGACAACGTTGATGTTCATCTTGAACTTTCCAATCTCCTGCATTATCAGATGGCTATCGTAACCTCTTAGGTTGTGGAAAACCACCGGAACTTTCCATGTGAT